CAATAAACTATCTCAGGTGCCATCAGGATATATCCAGCAGTTTATTTAAAGTCATGCTTAGATGCAGATTTTATTTAAAGTTTTTTAGTATCTTATAGTATTGAGTATATACAACTGATTTCCATGAGATTCTATATCCAAAATTGTGTTTGCCATTTGATTTTGTACGTCTGAGTTATGACCCACCTGATTTAAGTAGAAATGCTTTTGTTTTAATTATTTGTAGTAATTTCAAATAGTATTCACAAATTCTTGCTAAAAAACTATAATATGAAACTAGATGTAAAGAAGTATAAACCATTGAGATATCCGGGTCCCTTCTTATAGATTCAAATCTTTAAATCTCTTTAAATTGCATTTCTTATGCTTTAATTTTCAAAACAAGATTTGTGTTTATTTCTTTGATGGCATGGAAAATGCATGTTTTATCAGCATTCATCTCTCACTAACTACTTAGCTGAAGAAATGGCATGGAACGCATGCCTAAAATTACTTGGCTTCAGTAGCGGCAAGGAGAATCTGATTCCACACCAGCCCGAGCCCAGTTGCCATCTGGCAGAAGTCAGACAAGCCTCCACATTCCATCCTTCTTTTCCCTATTCTGACACCTACTGGTCGTGTACTCTCCCTGCACTCTCCTTTTCTGCTGGGTTTGCGAAGCTGTCCTAACAGTTACACAGAACACACAGACAATACTCACAATCTGGAGATTTATTGGGGAAGGGAACAGGTTACTACAAGTCAGGATTAGAAAAGTCTTTTGTCTACAGCAGCCCCTCTTCTCAGCCAGCCTCCGAGTCTCGCTCTGGTCCCCAGCCTCGCAGCCATATGGTCCTTGCTTTGTGGGCTGGGAAGGCCACTTTTTCTGCCCTACAATCGCAGTGCTGTTTCTGTGTTCTGCTTCATGGCCTCAGGGCAGCTCCCTGGCTCTGTTTTACGGTCTCGGTGAGGCACCGTACCCAGTACCCAGTGCCTCTGCTGCCTTTGCCATTCAGGCAGGGATCGTGCGCATCCTCCACTGATAGCTCACCTTTCTCAATTGTTTAGGATTCTTCCTCTTCCTGTTTCTGAGATGGCTCTCCTATACCTAGAGGAATGGCAAAACTGGCCGTGTCCCAGTCCGAATCTTCTACACCTCATTCGTGTCCTTCCACTCAGTCATGGTGGGAGTTATAAAGAGGGAAGGGCCATCTCGTGCTACTTCACTTCATCACAATTGCTTTCTGCAGAATGAGAAGTTTTCCATTCATGACACTGTTGAGAAGAAAATATAATTGAGAAGCTTATTGTGTCATCCATTCATAAAAATGAAAAACTATTACACACTTTCTAAGTGTTATGGATTGAACTGTATCCCCCCCCACAAAAAAAAAAACATGCTGGAATCTGCATCCCCATACCTGTGGTTGTAAATCTGTTTGGCAATAAATTTTGGTTTTTTATGTTAATAAAGTCATATCAGTGTGAGGCGTGTCCTAAACCTAAACACTTCTGAGTTATCCAAAGATGGATGCATTACTGGGCTAGACAGGCACCATTTGAGGATCAATTAGCCAAAGAACACTCAGAAAGTAATAAAGATGTCAAAAACTCTGATTTGGAATTTTAGCCACCTGGACTATGAGAAAATTAATTTCTGTTATTTAAAGTCATCCACCTGTGGTTTTTTGCATTATAGCAGCACCAAGAAATTAGGACAACAATTAAACCAAAAGTAGTTTAAGTCTCCAGAGCTACTAGATAAGTCGTTTCATTCCCTAGCTGTCAGTACTCTTTTTTTTTCTTCAGTAAAATGGAGCAATAATTTCTTTCTATTGTTTTCTAACACTCTCTATGTTTTAACACATTTTTCTTGTTTTATACACTGTTTTTTCTCACTAACTCTATGAGATCAGAGATTCTTATCTATTTTGTTCACTGATAAATGTCTGGGGCCTAAATTAGTGCCTGACAAACATTGGGCAATTGATAATTATTAAGTCAAAGGTTATTAAGACTGCAACTTCAAAAGTGATAAGTGGCCAGAGAACAAAGACCTTTCTTGATATATCTGCTGTACCGAATTATATACCCCAGACCATTCGTGGTCACTGGGTGACTTATTTAAATTACACAGGAAGGTATTATTCAGTGCCTTGGTTCTTCAAGCAGTCTTTTAAACCTTTAGATATGAATGTCTTTAGTCACAGCCAAATGTCTTGTGACATATGATGTCTTCTTTCTGTAGAACTAGCCAGCATGAACTTTGGACAACCAAATTTGATCTTACAAGATGATTAAAAAGTACAAGATTGCTTCCTTCATCTGATGTTTGACGATTTCTCTCAGGTGCTGGGTACCAGATAGTCATGGAGAAGAAACTTCAGTGTGATGTTGAAGGGATCATAGCACTAATTGATTCTCATGTTCCACAAGCCACTCTGGATAGCAATACCTCAACTACATTATCGTTTTATCTACCCAAAGAAGATACACAAAGGTATGAGTCAGAGGTTTCCAGCAGATAGTTTTCAGTGGCCAGAAGTCATTTTAATTTTGTAAGTTTAACAGGCTTCATGAGTAGTGTTACATTAACAAGCCATGGCTCAATTTATATCTATCATTTGCCAAATAGCATTGGGAAGCTCGTTGTTAAATTTCTCTCTCTCTCTAAACAGAGATAAGTTCATTCAAGGCTTATTTGACATTTTTACTTCTGCCTGTTTTAGAAAGTTTGCCATGTAGTGCTTAAAGCTTCGTGGTGTTAATAGGTGATAGCTAATGGTGGAGTATTTGAAGTGTACCGATTTTGTGTCTCTTGAGTACAATTTAGGGATGTGTTAGGATGATTCAATTAGAAAGTAGCCTACATGGCAACTCTTAGGAAAGATGGCAAGTACACAAATAATTTGGCCCCAGCTGCTAGATAGTTAGAGGAGAGGTACAGACATAATTTCCATCCCAGGTCAGTGAAATATAAACTAATATACTCATTAATGACTTCCGTGGAGTGTGCAATTTTCATCTTCTTGCATACACAAGAGATGAAGGTCTTGTAATACATTGCTCTACACTTCTATCTGGTAAAGAAATATCACATAGGGTGAAGGAAATAACAACATGGAGAAAAGCAAGCCAAGATTCTTTTAAGTAAAGAGATCTGAAAGTAAGATTATTCAAACGGAATAAAAAAATAAAAATAAAGGAAATTCTCGATGGAAACTATATTCCTTCAGAAAGTACATCTGACTTTCTTGAAACATAGGATCAGAGAAAAGTACTGAGGCAGCTGGGGAGAACCTTGACCCCAATACTGGACACCAAGGAATAAGAGAAATGAAAGCAACCACTGGTTATTCATGTATTAAAAGAAGACTCATTTCACAAAGGTAGAGGATGTTCTGTTCGGTACTTAGCACAATGGTGACCTGTAAGTGCACAGTGTAGACAGAAAAACTGCCTAAACTTAACCACAATATTGGTGCGTGTTATATCATAAGCAGACAAACAATATTATCAGAAGAGACCAGGAATAATGACTATGTCATCAATATGTCTAAAATGAAAATATTACATTTCTTCTTACTGTTGAATATGGAAAAATGTTAACTATGGAAGGGAGAACGAGGAAGAAGCTGGGAGATAAGTAACCAGTTACATAGATCAATATCAATACATTAGATATAAGGATTTCTAAATGTGTGCATGTATTCACGTGAAAAAACAATGAGCAAACGATTTGTAAAAATAGTTATATTTCAGATACGTATATTCTACTGTACTCAGAATGTAACTAACAAAAGTGAAGTTGATATTTTTAAACAAAGTTGTAGCTAGGTCTTTGAGAAGACCAATTATTTCTATAAAACTTCAGTCAACTTAACTTGGAAGGAAAGGAGAGAAGGCACAGAGTTACTTATGCTTAATAGGAAACAGGTGGCATCACTACACATTTTACAAATGGTGTATTAAAAGAATATTAGGAGAATGCTTACAACAAACCAATTTGACAAATTAGATGAATTTGAAAAGAATCCTTGAAAGACACAAATGATCAAATCTGATTCAAAACGTATCTGACCCCTGTAGATGACAACATTAGTCACAATACCAAAATGTTGGAGACCATTTAAGAGCCCGTCAAAAGCAGGGAATCTTCGAGATTGTGGTTCCTGTTGCCAGGGACCGTCCAGTCAGTTCTGACCCCTGACAACTGTATGCATAGCAGGGTGCAACACCACCTGGTCCTGTGCCATCCACACAGGGTTACTTTGCTTAGAATAGGGGGCACGAAATGAAAACGGGGGGAGGGGGGGTGAGTAGACAGAGTCAAGAACACTAGAAGTGGTTATTTGAAAGGACTAGTTAGCAAACCATGTGAAAATCAGGAGATGAGGTAGTTGCCCCTTGGCTTCCTTGGCTGACTTTTGATTCTGGTTGTTTTGGAAGTGGGAGTCTTTCAGCGTCCAAAGCAGTTTACTTCTGCCACCTGCTGGGGGTCCTTGACTGCGTCACGGCTCAACTACCTGGGCAACAACCTGGTTCTTTCCAAAGGGCTCTGTACCACCCAAGTCCGAGACGGTAGCCCCCCACTCTTCAGTTCCAAGAAGAAGGGCTCTTCCCTGGGCACGATGTTCGCTCTACAGCCTTTGGGGCTGAAGTTCCTCAAGTCAGTGTGTCTCGCTTCCACGTACCTTGCTTTATTTAATTTTTTTTGTAGGCCTACAAATTGTAATGAAGGTCCATTTTCTAGGACTAATTTCTGTTCATCTCATGCCAACATTTCCTCAATATTCGTTGGGGAGTTGGAGAACACCTACCAGGGGAAGTGAGCCTCTGTCTCCATCCTCGGACGTGTCCACTGGTACTCTCGTTCCAGTGGAATACAAGATAGGAGGAGGAGGCAGCATCTTTAAAGTGTGTTACCTAAACGTACATATACATATTAGGTAGTGTCATCTGGAGGGTGTAGGGGTTAGGAACCACTGGGCTGGGTGTCATCTACAATTTGGTTTTTCTTCCAGAGTTCCTGCACAGACCAATATTCTTTGGTCCCCTGTTTTACTGCAGGCAGGAAGGGGGCACATTGTAAGGGGAGCAGCAGGAGGCAACAAACCCACCTGAAAGTATGGGTGAATCAAGGAAGCCACTCTCGCTGTCATCTCCTTCCTCAGGAGGTGTTGGCTCTGCCTGAAATGTAAAGACACCTCCTGCTATTAGTGTAGTGTCTAGCAGAGGAGCTGCTTGTGCTGGGGGCGGGAAGCCCAAACCTTAGGGACTTCTTTCACTCATCACCTCATCAGGAATCTGCCCCAACTCTTCACTCAGAGACCCACAGGGATTCTCCGGAGAAATCTGTACCAGGATCAGGAATGGCCCAAAAGAGACCCTAGCAACTAAAGTCTAGGGTTTCATTTTGACAGCAGATTTCCTCCCAGCGAGGAGATGGGTACAAAGATTCAATATAGAGGGCGCTCTTTTCCACTTGACAATCCAAAGGCGTGAGGAAATGTTTGCTCCGTTCTTGGGCTCATCCCAAGAGTTTTCCAAGAGTCTCTGGTTACAGGAACCTTAACAGAGTGAAGAGTGTTGAACACTGAGCAGGCAGCCTCTGTGTCCTCTCACTTTCCAGGTAATCTAGGGATCCTCATGGGAGCTTTTCATAGTTTGACTTAGAATGCCTGGGCCCCACTAGTTCATGTGATCAAGTGACTCGCTACCAGACCCAGCCTCCTAGTGGGGCTTTAACTGAGTACCTTTTAGTTTTTATTTCCTGCCCTTTGGGCATTCATGCTTCCAAGGACTCTTCTCTTTGCAACAAAGACATGAATCTTGGTCCAGCATGACCCTACACATCAGGTACTCTCTATTCCTATCTTGTGCTACCTAGCTCCGTTTAATTTCCAGTGGCAGGTCTGTCGACCACAGTGGCCAACAATACAATATTTTGTTTTTCCTTCTGCTCCGCCGACCACTCACAATTGTTGAATATTTTAAAGGCAAGAAAGTGTGCTACAGGAATGACTTAACCTCCCTCTGGCCTTAACAATTTTCTCCTAATTGGGGAGCACCTTGAGTAATGAATGTCATGTTGATCAACCAAGAGTTATTGAGAGCTTCAGGGCCCAGGTCAATGTACTGCGATACTCTTTCCACAAGCCTCTCAAAGAAGGAAGAGGAGTTTTCTGCCTTCTCTCAAATAATTTCTATTTTTTAATTGGCATTTTGTAATCTCTTGGGTTTGGGCACTTCTTTTTTTAACCCTCATACACAAACCCAGTACAACTAGAGTTTCATTAAGTCCCAAGTCTGATTATGGTGCCATGTTGGGTCGTGGTAGAGTGTAGCCTCTGTCCCTCCAGGTCCGATCTCATCATTTGGATGTAGTTAGTGGAGGCAACTCACCTCCTCCTCAGCCTGCTCGAAGGCCTGCACTTTTCCTTGGAAAGTGAAAGGGGTATTTAATGAAGCTTAATTAGATGGTGGGTAGCAAACATGGAAGCTGAGAATTCCTCCATTTTGATATGAAGGTTATTTCTTTTTCCACTTGTACAAATTGGAAGTAGAAAAGGTTGTGTACACAAAGTTACCTTGGGTCTGCCTTCCTTGTCAAGTTCTATTGGTACTTCTGGCCATGGAAATTTCCAAACCTGGGTTCCTATGACTCCCCCAACCAAAAAGAGTAATTTGTCTGACGTCAGACCATGTCTGGTGCAGCTCTGGTGTTATCTGGAGTTGGTTTAATTGAAGTTTGTCTGTCTATAAGCCTCCTTGGTGCCCCTGAACTGGATTCTGATCTGCAACAGCCTGTAATCTCTCACCCTCTCCTAGGATAATGGGGCCATGGGCCTGAGCCAGGGTTGGTTGACCAGAGGAACATTAGGAGCTCAGTCTTGGGATACCTTCTAAGTTCTTCAACACTTCTTTGGGTGCTAGGAAGAGTTAATATTTTGATATAATGACAAATTCTTGACATGTTACTTCATCTCAGTTTTAGTCCTCTTTATGCAATAATAGTAGTTGTAGAATAGTCTTATAGTTGAGAGACCCATTTACTGGACACTTGTCCTCCCAGTTCATATGCAGTATGATTACACAGAAATACCATTTTCTTCATTTTCATTGGCTCAGTCTCTTTCAATCAATTAACACACTCAGGGCAGGACAGAGGGTGGAGGGCAGATTGTTCTGGTGTAGACTGGGTTCTCTCTATCATAGGGTACCTACGTAGGGTACCTACGTAGATGCCTTTTTACCAGTGGACCTGGAGCCAGGTGGAAACATGGTAGTCTTGTTTCTATAAACTGCTTTCCTTCTTCTGAAAAATTAGGAATTTCAGTTCCATATGTTGAGCTGCCTAACAAGTTCAGCAATTTGAACCCACCAGCTGCCCCAGGGGAGAATGACGGGACTTTCTGCTCCTGTAAAGATTTACAACCTTGGCAACCCCAAGGGTTTCCTATAGAGTTGCTGAGTTGAAATCCCCCAGGGCCTAGAGGGCAGAGTACATACATAAGAGTTCCACAACCTGAAGGAGTGCAATACCCGGTGTTACCACCAGGTGCCAGCCATGCCTGACTGACTTGCAGCTCACTCACATTCAGAAGGAAAAAGAAAAAAAAGAAAACTACTAAAGCTGCACTTTTAAGGTAATCAGATGTTTACAAGATAAAGCACCTTAGTAAAGTAGAAGGGCCAGGCAAAAGAGAAAGCAGCTCCACAAGATGGATGGACACAGTGCTGTCACAATGGGCTCAACCCCAAGGACAGTTGTGAGGATGGCGTGTGTCATGGTGGTGTTTCATTCGCTTGTCGATAAGGGGTTGCAATGAGTTGGAAATGACTTGATGGCACCTGATGCAGCTATAACAAAGGAAGGCATGGATCCAATGGAACAATGAAACAGAGCAGAAGAAACCCAAAAGGACTATGAGCAAAACTCAGCACCATCAAGTCCATTTCTGACCCATAACAACCCTACCTATTCAGGTCAGGGTAGCTCTGCCTCTGAGGGCTTCGGAGACTGTAACTAGCTGCTTAAGGAAGTAGAAAGCCTTGTCTTTCTCCTGTGGAGTGGCTGTTGGTTTCAAACTGCTGACCTTGCAGTTAGCAGCCCAACACATAACCACGATGCCACCAGGGCTCCTGTAAAGTTTCAATGCTCACATAAAATCATACTCACACAAAACTCATACGGACGATATTCCTCAAGGTCAAAAACCTAACTGCGCCCTTTCAAAAAAAAAAAAAAAAAGATGGAGACTCACTCCCGGGAACAACTGCTTATGTACCTATCCAGCCAGTATAGCACTTAAAAACCCTTATACACCTGCCCGACCAGTAATGAATGCCGTGTTGACCAACCAAGAGTTACTGAGATCTTCAGGGTATGGGGTTTCCATATCAGATGGGAAGACAACCCAGCTTCACTTGTCCTTGTTCTGGAATGCCACACAACAGTGGCTGAAATAAAGGGCCGTGAAGGGCCATATCAGACCTTCATCACTTCACACAGAGATCTGAGATGTATGCGTTTTTTCAAGGATCTCCAGGTTTCTCTTCCTGCCACTGCTGCTTCAAAGATGGCTTGTCCATATAGCCAAGGAGGTGGTAATTAAAACTGACCAATCCCCTCGCTTAATGCTACGCATGTCCTCTCTGCGTAGTTCTACCCAATCATTTGGTGGGCATGGCAGAGGCTTGGGTAGAAGAGCCATGTTTAAAATTTTTTAAATTTCCACTCCACCACAGGGGTTATAGACTCACCCAAAGCTTCGTGGGCCAGCATTTCACAGCCTTAGTCTTCTTGCCATATGCTAGGGTGTACAGGGCCTGGCAGTGTCATAACAGGCCCAAGATTGTCAGTGATTCGCCATGGTGAGAAATCTTCAAGTGGCTGTTCAAAAGAAGACCAGCAACTCTCTGAGATTTGCTTCCAGGGCCACGGCATCTCAGACAGCCATGGGGTTCCACCTAGGGATACCAAATTTGTTACTGCAAAGGGTGGATCAGAGTTGCCTGCTATCAAGAAGCCAATCACTCTGAGACACGAGTTTGGTGGCACAACAAGGCTTAATGCTGGTGATATACAAGAGACGGAACCGAGTGCCCTCCTAGGATGAGCTCCCTCCAGGGGAAATAGTGGAGCATTTCTAGAGGTCCTTGGCCTGGAACACGGATCTTCTTTACGGTTCTGTTTATTTCAGGTTGTGCTGAGCACTCCACCACGTTGTCTGGCCGCTCCAGACACGTTGTCTCCAGCATGTATTGCTTTCTGCTATATTGGCAGCCAGTTCTTCATCAAAGAGAACAGGCCAGGTTCCATTGTGCACAGGTTCCATCCGAGATGTATGACTATTTCTCTTCATTCCAACAATAGCCCTCAGGCGTGGTGGTTGACAACCGTAGGCAAACTATTGATTCAACTATGGGAACCTGTGGATGGCTTTGCAAATTGAAGTCACCACAACCATGTACCAACATCAAATGGATAAGAAACAGGACTCATTGATCTCTTGCCTATGAAGACTCACCTTAAGCAAAGATGAAAATAAATATAAAATCAAGGAATGGGAAAAACATATCAAGCTAACGGCAGCATGAAAGGGCAGGGTGGAAACAGTAACTTCTGATAAGATATACTGTAAGGTCAAATCCAGCATGAAGAATAAGGAAATGCACTATGTAGTGATTACAGAGTCAATCCAACAAGAGGGCATTTTTGTTTTAATACTGAATAAACAAAATCTAGTCCATAAATGCAGTGGGCTGTAAAGAAAATGAAAATCCTCCAGGATGTAGGAACTATATTATGTCAATAAACTATTCTCAACTAGACATGTTCTTTAATGTATATAGAAAATTCTATTAATTTTATTAGAAAACAAAATAATATCAAAAACCAAGTTACATTTGGGAGAAACTTAGTAAGAAAAGTCTTTTTCTGTTTGTTTCACAATAAGCATTGCAGTGAAAATCCATCTAATAAACATTCCCACTGCTAACAAGAAATTATTTGGAAATAAATGGATACTGAAAATTCACTGATGCTTGTGCTGGTGCTCTTTTCCTCTTCTTCCCCTCCTTCTAGGTTTGCAACTCTGTTTCATGACCTGGATCAAAAACAGGAAGAATTAGGCATTGCCAGATTTGGTGCTTCAATCACTACTATGGAGCAAGTCTTCCTTAAGTGAGTAATGATCACCAGGGGACAAAAACCAAAACACTTCCACCTTTAAAGTCCTACATAAATTTGAGGGTAAATCCTATTGTTTGGGATTAAAATAATTGCAAAATAGTATTATTATTTTAAACTACTGTGTCTCCAGATATAGTCAGCAGGAAAGTAGGGAAGAATTTCCATGTTGGGCTTAATGATGGGTCTCTTTGTGAAAAGGATCTAGACATTACTTTAAAAAAGAAAATTAGCCTCTGTATAATCCTAGAAAATGTTTTAGCTCTGGCTTGGAGTCCCTACTAAGAATGATTTTGACATCTTGATTTACCATGTTTCTGTAATCTATATAATTAATGCCTGATTTGTTTCTCAGGCTGTTTAGCTTGCCACTAGGCAAGACCAACTGTTTTAAAATTCTCAGGGTGTTCGGGTTGCCACTAGGTAAGACCAACTGGCAAGCTGTTAAAAATATTCACAAAATAGCCTTTGTCTGGATCCAGACACCATTCTCTCATTTAATATTGTCAATATCTTATAGATCCTGTCATTCAAACTCACTTCCATCAAGTCAATTCTGGGCATAGTAGGACTGCCCCCTGTGGCTTTTCCAGGCTATGAATCTTTATGAGCGCATGAAACTTCATCTCTCTCCCACAGAGTGGCTGGTGGTTTTGAACTGCTGACTTTGTGGTCCGCAGCCCAACAGACAGCACGCTATGCCACCATTCCTTCTCTCTCACTGATAACGTGGGGTAATTGTGTCCTACAAATAAAATAAAAGTTGATGGGTACATCCAAAGTTAATGGGTACAAAGTCCAGTAAATTTATAAAAAAGGCCCCAAAACGATTCAATCAAAAGTTCAGTTGTCTCTCTTTAGCCAAGACACAAAGGGGCTAAATGATAATGAGACCGTTGCTTCACACAAGGAGCACAAGCTCTATAACAGTGGGGGTTATGTTTGTTTTTTCCACTGCTTGTACTGGGGGTCTCCAACAATATCAGATAGACACTCAAAAATGATTCTTCGGAGAAT